TATAGACATCTCATAGCGTTTCGCGCATAACTGGTTCTTGTGTTGCATTGTGTTTGGGCAGATCCTTTCTTGGTAATGTGGAGTTTCGAATCTGAACCTAACGGTTCAAACACTGTTAATGATCGTTAATTTTTATTTTTCTACCCTGAAAGCAAATTAACAAGCATCGAACAATGGGCTCAGTTGTAGGAAGCCCGCTCCTTATTTCCTGTGCCTACTATGTAAGCGGCTGCTAAAATTGAATTTGTTAATCCGTTTTCAACAATTTCAATCTCTTTATGTCAAGTTTGTTTTTTTTTAATTACGCATCTAAGGGCGTTTAGGAATGTAGTTTTTTATCCATCTTTTTATAAATCGCATAATGCTTTTTAACGCCCAGAATAGTACCTTAAACCACGTCCAGAATGACACAACCGCGACTCATCTCTCAGACTTGAGTATCTGGGGTAGCCTCAGGGCATCTGAGATTATTGATCCACAAGCTACGTTGTGACAGTGATAGCAAACGTCCCGCATCAAGCTCTGGCTATTTAAATCTGCGTTCCTCTCATCGAAGGATCTACCCACCGATCTTTGGACTAAACCTATTCTATATTGAAGTTCAGCAGCACCCGATCATCGTCATTAAGTTGCTCTCGTTGATTTTTACTTCAGGTAAGAGTCTCCAAAGATTTGAGATCAACGAAGCCCATGTCGCCAAAATAATACCTGAAGTTATAATTGCACGAAGGACTGCAGAACGCGTAAGTGGTCCTTTTCATCCCCTCACAATTACCATAGAAACTTGATGAAATGCGCTTCGATGAGAAAAGAGAGATAATCAAGGCAAAAAATGTGAGTGTTGACGCACCCTTTCTAACTACTAATAATTAATAGCTTCTCAAAACGCAAAGCAGCAGATTATAACCATCGAAGAATGGAAGATCTGGTCATCACCCGGCACAACTCGCATTTCTGCATCGAACCTTTGTGGCAAATGCTAAAATCCTAAAGCTCTCTCCCATCCATTTGATATCGTTATTGTAATCTTGAAAGATGTCTATTTAATCATTATTAATACACAATTTTGGAATTGAGTACAAATTTTCTGATAAATTTCTAGCTCGATCGCACCAGCCGGTTCGAATTAACCATTCACCCCATCGGACTCGTTGTGAAGAAAAAACTATAAAAAACATAAAATTGTGTATGCACACAAGTGATCACTGAAGCTCGCTGCAATGTTGAGTGAGCATGCACACAGTTGCTTTGTGCATCAAACTGTCACGTCGTGACGGGGCGGGATCGAGTCGGACGATAGAATTTGGGAGATTAACAATTTACACTTATAATACATGTTCTATACAAGTGACCACTTCTTGAGGTCGTCGTAATGCACTCTAAGTAGCCAGAGGATTGGAGAAAGATAGTTGTGGATGCTGATGCACGTAGATTAGAAAGCAGGATTAGGACTTTTGACACTCGAGTGCTGATTTGCAATCGCGATTCGGTCAAGATTCTGCCAAATGCCTCTTATTCCAGTTTTTCTCGCGTCCCTGCATCCAGACCATCCAGCCTCCACAACTAGAACTCTCGTATTATAGGTGCCAGTCTCCTATCCCGGCGCCGTTTCGCTGATCGCTGGACCTGGGAAGGTAGGAGATTGCTGAGGCCCTGTTGGCAGCACCTTCGGATGATGACGGTGGAGAGTAGACAGGCGCAGCCGTGAAAGAAACGGTCCGTTGGGGATGGGCGTATGAGTTAGTATGAAGGTAAGGCTGATGGGCTACCGACTGCGACTGGGTGTGAGAATTGATGGAACGACTCTCGCCTGGAATGAGTGTATAAAG